TTTGTTTGTTTATTTCTAACAATTAAGAAGTGCAAAATTTTGAATCTTTTGCAAATCAAGCTATAATGATAAAAGTTAAGTATCACTATTTTCAATAAGTATGTTACAATATTTCTGTATGAATGTATATTCTTCCATAAGAATACGTGTATATAGTTGCAAAATCAATAGCAATCATTTACAACATTCATTTATAAAGGCAATTAAGTGAAAATAATATATTGTCCGATTTATGCCATAAATTAAAGAAAACAGTAGGTTTTTACCACTGTCATGTCAAAAACCAGTTTTTGACAGCAAAAACCCAACCCTGGTAGTAATACATAGAACTGCATTCATATTAATTAACATTATTAATTTCGCTCCAAACGAAATTACATTAAAAGATTTCCTACTGTCATTGCAATCGTCTATTTTTCGTTGTAAACCGATAGCCGCTTCGAGTTAGGTGGTAAAAAAAGGCTAATTGAAAGCTCATTCGTTAATCTCTAATCTTTGGGCTAAAGTGTCAGCTATATCTTTTCTGTTTGGGAGCAGCATGCACTGACTTTCTTCTACCTTGCATAAATTATGATTACACTGTCTGCTTCGTATCCCCCCCCCCACTGCAAACTACTTTTTGGTACGCTAGGATACCGTTTTTTATATTACACGAAATATTATAAAGTATCTGCAAAATTGGAGAATCCCCACCAATGTATCCATGCACGGCGTGTGTCTATATTATCTAATTATGAATATAATTAATAGCAAATATTATGAATCAAATAGATATCAGATAATGACGAACACTCTAAATTTACTTTATCTAAAAAATCTGCCTAAAGTATAATATAAAGGAAGTAAAATCAGCATTTAGATTGATAATAATTAACAACTCATAGTTTTAACCTATAATATAAACTGAATCATTACATAAAGTATTAAGATTAAATAAAGTATTAAGATTACCATTAGAATATCTATTACTAATTACAATAATTTTGGTAGCATTTTTTAAAAGTGATATATGATTCATTATAGTAGAATATAATGCAAGTAGTATGCATGATTTAATATCTAAGAAAATGACTTCAATGTCAAAAAAAAAACATGCCCCAAGTTTTTGACTGATTTCAACAGTTTTTGACACTTTTGGACAGGTTTTTGACGTGTCATATCAAAAACCCACACAATCCTGAGATAATATAAAATTAAATTTACTTTTTTAATATGAAATATTTATCTTATGCAATTTTTGCAGACGGATATAATGAAAATTAATTTGATTTGTATTGAACGAAAAAATTTCCGAGACAGTAGTTAATTTTTCTTATCAATCAAACTACAGAAATATTATTTATAGTGCCACAAAACTGGATGGCCTAAATTACAGTATCAAATTTGACAAAGAAAACGCTGAAGACACATAAAAAATCTACACGAAGTAGTACAAATCATATACACAATAAATAATTTGAATACTACTGAAGCCAAGTTCTTTTTAAACAGATGAAGATTTGTAACAGATCATTACTTCTTTCTAACTGTTTTGATAAAAATAAATCCTTCACCACTTTAAATCGAAATATTACTACAAAAATTAGCATTTTTTCCCGACAGTACTTCAACAGACTAAATAACTAGTTAAACATTGTGTATATTGGTGAATTGTATATATTGTACATCGTGTAAATATTGTATTGTATAATTGATACATATTGAAGATATTGTGTAAAACCCAGAAAAACATACACTTGCTTTATTTTAAAAAAAAATTTGCAAGTTTAATATCAATTTTTTGCAGCATTTGAATGAAAAAACTAGCACTATAAATATTAGAACATGTGAACTTCCATTATGACATTAATCTTTCATCACTTACTTTGAGTTCAGGGAAAAATTCGATTAAAAAAGCATCAGTATGCAGATCACCATTTGTAGAAGATTTTGGTGATAAATTGCTAGATAAATATTTTTCCTGAGAATCAGAACTAATGTGTTTCGTCTCCATTAAACTATATTAATTACCGGTTTCAACAAGGCCGTCAATTCTGAAAAACGTAATAACTATTAGAATGATTTTAAGTAAATTGAAAGGAAAAGTAGGAGACAGAAATTATCAGAATAATGCCAACAATCAAAGTATAATATTTACACCAGCTTTTAAATTTTATTGTGATCATAAATTTCAATTACATACTGGGTACACAATAATAATAACATAATCACAAACAAAGAGTTAAAGAGACTTATACCGATGCCAGATTTTTAAAATAAAATTTTATTTCCAGTAGAAACAAAGTGGCTCGGTAGCCTCTCACACCATGCGAATTCTAGTGGAAATTAAAAGAAGCTACAAAAAGGGTTAGAAGGAATTTGCCCATTGCCAATAGCCCATTGTGCAGCTCTAGTATGACGTAAATAAAGTATCTACCTGCCTAATTTAAATTCAAAAGATTGAATTGCATCATTGATTTTATTTATTAAATAATTATTATTTTTTCCTTCAAAACATCAACTAAAGTATAGATCTATGCAATTCTAAATCTCATAAAGTTCTTTAACCTGAATTTAAGAAATGTGTGAAGCAAATTTCGTAAATGACATGATCTAGATCACGTAAATAGAGATAGTTGAATAAAAATTCAAATAATTATCTTAATGAAAAATTACACTAGCAAGCAAAAACAGCATTAGCAGTATTATTTCGGTATTTTAATGTGTTGCATCTTCAAACTGTGACCAAAATTAAAGCCATAAACAGGGGTCTCCAAAATATTTAGACAAAGTTAATTTCGGCAAAAAAAAAAGAAAAAAAAATTGTGTTCAATCATAGCTAGGAACTCTATTCAATGAACTTTGCACAAAATTTTCCTTTCTAGAAAATTTAGTGCATTCTCCATTTATCTTATCAGTTTTCGTTTAATTTTACCTTTCCTTTTAAAAGTTTCCTCCTTTCTCTGAATATTCATCAACCGAAATTATTTCTCTTTCAATTTCGTCAACTAAAATGAATGCCTCTATCTCTACGTTAAGTTTTAAAGCTCACTTTTCTTTCGATTAACTGATCATATAAGTTTTTAATTCTCCATTTTTATTCCCTTCATCAATTTTATGTCCTTAAAACAGGCTTCTATCTTATTAAGAACTTTAGTTGTTAATGATCGAGATATGTCCTCTAAATCCCTTTTAGATGATTCTTCAAGTCTTCAATTCTATTCGAGTTTCAAAAATAATAAATACTTCGCATGCTTTCTCATTAGAGTGTGGAGAGTCATAGAGGAAAGAAGTATATTAGTTTCTCTTTTGATTTTCATATAGATTAAAATCTTTTAAGTTGGAAAACTACATGGAACTCAAAACCACATTAAACATAGTTCTAACGAAAAGCATAACAGAAATTTTAAAGAATATTTTTATTAAATAAAAGAGAAAAATATGAAGAAAAGGGAAAAGGAAGAGAGAGGGGTGGTCTCTCCCCAGGTGGCGTATTCGAGCGTTGCGATCACCAATATTAGTTCAAATTTCAAGCAAAGTCACTGTATTAATTCAAATTCAAAGTCATTTACATGAGTCATCAAGGCTCCAAGTAATGGCGCCACAAAATGTAAAAGGAAATCCTTCTTGGGAAAACAATCGCTTTTGAATAAAGATGCCGATTTTAACAACACAATTTTATTAGCACAAATTATTAATTACGTGACTTAGTACTATATTTCATTTGAAAATTACTTCATGCAGAAACACTGGGATTTGAGCCCGAGTTATGATTTATCACGAATTAAGAAACAAGTCTAAATGTAGATAACATTAACTTTAAATTAAAAGTTAATTAATACTTTTGCCAAACGAAGGAGTGCTCTTTTCTCATCCAATTGAAAATTAATTTGGAATTGAGATTCATGAATCTTAGAAAACTATTATATCAGAATATGTCTAAAATCATATGCAAGTGCTTTCCATGCAGGGTTAAACTGTGCTTCTAAACGTCAAAAGCTTCCTAAATTCTATTTTCCAATCAATGAGATTATATGCACAATTATATTAACTCGTCATAATTATGCATTTATATTTGATTTTTTACTATATTTTTATATATTGTATTCAAACATGTGATATTTATCGGGAATAAATTTAAAATAGTATAAATGTATATTTTATCGTCATACACTGGGCCCGCCCAGTGAATTAGCTAAATATCAAAAGCGCTAGCCAAATTTCCAAAATTCTTAGTCAAGGGCAACTATTAATTAATTTTTTCTCATAGAAAACAAATTACTATACAAATTTACTATAAACTGAACTATTTAATAAAAGGCAAATTCAAATAAAGAATTATTTTATGAAGGTGAAATGAGCAGTAGGCAGATACCTCATCGTCTGTGAGGAAAATAAATAAGAATAGGTTAGGATTAATTTATTTGGTGTTTTTTTAAGATGCAGACTATCTTTTAAATACATTTACTTTTAAAGGAAAGGCTTCATTCTTAAAGTCTTATTTTTTAATGAAAGAATTTTTACCGTCTCGATTTTATATCTACCGTTGAACAGCTGACCCAATTTCGGGTTTACGACTACCTACTAATGTTCATCTCCGTAGCCTTGTAATTCTGAACCCAATCCTGAAGACAAGGGAACTCCTGGATGAAGTATTGGAAGACCCGCATTACAGACTAACTCGCATTTACTTTACATGGTCGGTGCGAGCCGGTTGCAGAATTCGTATAAAATAGCCATCGTTAAGACTCGAACCCGGTTTACCTCATTGGAAGGCGAACCCTCTATCTCCCGAGCCACCAGGGCTCAACACAAACAAATTGACAAACTTCATTCATAATAACTCTTCATTTTATAATTATAGATACAGTCCAGATCCGGACTGGCCAACAGGCAAACCGGGCAAATGCCCGGTGGGCCGGTCTGGCCTGAGGGCCGGTTGAGCCGAGTCAGCAGAGCAAAAAAAATTTTTACACATTGCATGAATTTCAAATAATATTGCGCAAGTAATAATAATATTAAATAACATATATATGATATATGTAGTAATAAGATTGTTTTAATATACAGGGTGATTCAGACCATGCGTGCCATCCATTTTTTTCGAAAATGGAGCAAATAATCGATTTGAAATGAAAAATCTTCACCATGGGTTAGTTCATTTCCATAATTCACACCATAATTGTGCTGAATCATATTTTTTGCGAGATAACAAAGCAAATCTTGATAATTTGCTATTCTGCAATCAAATGTCTTTACATCGAGCTCAAGTACGAAAAAGAAGAGAAATTTTGCAACGAATAATAGATATTATTAAATTTATTGGGAAACGAGGATTAAGTTACAGAGGTGATTAGCTAGAAGCTCCCTATACTCTGGAAGACATGTGCGTAGATCATGGAAACTTTTTGTTCTTCTTAGCAAATATGATATTACTTTGAAAGACCATTTAAAAGATTGTATTCAGAGAGGTAAAAAACTTCACGAGTTGCAAAAGAGTAAAGGCAGTCTTTGTTAACGTTTCTTTCCAAATCCACCATTAATAAAATTATTCAATCAATTGGACAACTTATAACACGGAATATTAGTTTGGAAGTACAAACAGCTGGTATGTTTTCTTTACAAGTGGATACAACACAGGATATTTCATACAAAGATCAATGCTTAATTATAGTACGATATGTGAAAGACGATCGAGTATATGAAGGACTTTTCGCTGTTGTAGAGTGTAAATCTTCAGCCGGACAGAATATGTTTTATTTAGTGGATTCAGTTTTATTTAAAGTCTTGTATTATAGATATAACAAAGTGCATCGGTAATTCAACTGTCGGGGCTACAAATATGCAAGGTGAATATAAAGGATTTTCTTCATGGCTTTCCAAAGTGTCCCCTGATCAAATTCATGTTTGGTGTTATGCACATGTCTTAAATTTAGTTTTAGGAAATACCACGAAGGCACTAATTGAAAGTGCATCGTTTTTCTGCCTACTAAATAGCGTCGCAGTATTTTTCCGTGAATCATACCAACGCATGAACATCTGGAAACAAAGTAACGAGCACGGATATAAAAAAAAAGGCTCGCAATTATTGGAGGAACACGTTGGTGGTTCAAAGATTCTGCATTAAAGAAAATTTTTGGTTCATTTTCAAACTCAGATTCAACTATAAAGTCATTATATGTCACATTGATTACAAGTTTAGAAACTATACAACAAAATTCAAATTTCATGCCAGATATCCGTGAAAAGGCAAAAATATTCTTAGAATCATTTTGAAAATATGAAACAGTAATCACCGCACCTCTAAAATATTCTCAAGAATATTTGAATTAACTACATCGCTCTCCCAAAATTCGCAAACCTCCGGTTTAGACATCTTAAAAGCTTTTGGAATGGTATCACAAACGTGTTCAGAACTAAAAAGAATGTGAGAGATTTTGAAGGTGTACAAAAAGTTACAGTTGATTTTATTATTCGCGCAAATAAGGAATTTGAAGAAACTGAAATAGAAATTCAAAGTTCAAACAAAGTTTCCACCAAAAAGATTGAAGAAAAGAAACTTGATGCCGGGTTAGACAGCGTCGAGTGAAACAGTTTTTGATGATGAAACCACTGCATTTAAGATAAACGTCCATAACATTATTTTCAGCACAGTTGTAGCGTCAATGGAACGCCAGTATCTCGCAAATGGAGAATTGTGTGCCGATTTTTCCTATCTAGATCCGAAACGTTTCCCGGAAATATGTCTTAACAAGCTTCAATCTGGCGAACTAAATAAGTTAAGCAAACTCTTGCTAAAATTTGACGAAACAGCTATGGGTAAAAATTTGCGGATTGAACTAAGAAATTTAGCTTTACATAGGGAAAAACTAATTCAGACATAGAAGATTATAAAATAATCACAGAAGATCAGAGCCGGATTATACCTTTCGTAGGCCCTAGGCATAGCCGTTTTTGGGGCCTCCCCTCCTTCCCCCACTCCTACCCTTTTTTCAAAATATATGCTAAAATTTTCTTGCATATTTTTTTAACATTTTTATTAATATGGATTTTAATTTACAAATTTGTTTATCGAACTTTATCCAAAAATCGCAAAAAAGTAATATATTAGATCATAAGATTCTGCAAAATAATTTATTACCGAAATATATTATATTTTTATTTGTATCTTCATAATTTTGTGCAAAATACACTTGTTGTTTTTAAAGCTAAATTATTTTTGTCAACAAATTTTTTTCTCCCAAGTTTTTCGTAG